GGGTGTGGTAAAAGTTTGGGCGCGTTTTGAGTAAGCCTTCTTCTCTCACTTCTCTTTCTTTATCCCACCCCCACCCCACCCCACCCTATAGGGGGAGGGGTTTTAGGGTTGGCCGCCGATCACTTGATGAGGCTAGGAGCTTTTCGGGAGTCTATGCAGTGGGTTTGGACTTTGGGTCCTTTGCCTTCAATTTAGAGAATTTATTTATTAACATAAGCTGAAATTTTTTCTATGGAGGCTGGCTTAGCAATCAATCCCAACTGCGGACGTGCTGCATCATCGGAATATGTATACAACTACATGTTGTGGCCTATGTGGAGCCGAGGACTCCTGGCAAAACTCGTTGCTCCATTGCACGGTCGCCAGATGCGTTTGGGCACTGCTCGACCAATATCGCGTTGAAGCTTTGAACACCACAACGGAACCGGATGCAAAACGATGGCTATTCTCGATCCAGGACATGCTCTATCCGCAAGAGTTCATCTTGGTAATCACAACCCTATGGGCACTTTGGTTTGCACGACGACATGCGCTACATGAACACATATTTCAGAGCCTGCTGTCTACATACCACTTCATCCTGAAGTACATCCAGGAGCTTGAGGAATGCAAACCGAAGAAATCTACGAGTGGATTACCAATGGTTGTTCCTGTGCAACCTAGATGGATCCCTCCCCCTGAAGAAACTACAAAAATCCGAGTCGATGGGGCCGTCTCCAGAGATGGAAACATTGGGTCGTTCAGTGCCGTGTGCAGAAATTCATCAGGATTTTTTTTGGGTGATTCGGTTATCAAAATCCATGGAGTCACGGATCCGGAGACGCTTGAAGCGCTGGCATGCCGCGAGGCGCTTGCGCTCGCAGCGGACCTAGACCTTGGTCGAATTCTCGTCGCGAGCGACAACCAAGGGGTAGTGAAAGACATCAAGAACTGCACCGGGGGAGCCTACGCCAGCACCACCAGGGGAGATTGTGGAAACATCAACTAGTTTTGATAGCTGCACCTTCATCTTTGAAGGTAGAGGCACTAATATTGAGGTACATAGCCTCGCTAAGCATGCTTTTGGTTTGGATTATGGGCGCCATGTGTGGCTGTTAAACCCTCCAAACATCTCCTGTATCCCCATCAACTTGTTTGAGTAATAAATAAAGCGTGTTTAGACTCAAAAAAAATATTATTAATGGCCCAAAAGAAATATGCAAAAGAACCAAATTTTTGATGTGTGTGATCTTCTCTTCATCAGTACGGGAAGAGAGTATGCCTCCAGCTGTTTCCGCACAAAATCGACGCACAATAACACACATCATGCTCTTCTCGTACATTAATTATATGAAGACAGAGGCAACAACAGCCGTCCGACTTGCTCAGCCATGCTACATAATGCAAATACAGCTTATTATGTCACAAAAGTACACAACTGAAACGCAATAATTAGCGTTCAACAAAAATTGATTTTTTTTGTTGTTGACAAGGGAATGGATTTTATTTACTCGACCAGGAGAGCGCCTGTGTATTGCAACAGGATATAAATATCCTAGTATGTTCGTTTTTAGTCACTTATTCATATTAATGTGACTGTGTAAACAAATGTTTATCAAATCTTACCCGTCATTGGTTTGATGAGAAGTTTGACAAGTAAAATAATGTGAAACTGGTGCCGTTAATAAGTAAATTAAGGTGGTTGATTAGCGTACGGAAATGTGCGGACAAAGGGCGTGGTGGGACAAAAAACTGGCCGAACAAAAAAAAATTGATGGAGGTCCCTGGTGAGAGGGAGAGAACCGGTTGACGAAGTTATGCCGGTAGAAAAAAGAACACTAATATTTTTATAAGCAGTATATAGAGATATGACCCATAAAGGTGATACAATCAAAATTAGCGCATACATCTCCGCATAGCTAGGATGCACACATCTAACACCAACACACACATAAAGATGCTGACAAATAGCATAGTATTATAAGACCAAAGATATGCATGCCTAAGCAAAAACAAAAAAGAAAGCGATCAAATCATAATCGAGAAACTACAACAATGACGATATCAACAACAACCATCTTTTGACACCAGAAAGACATTGAAAAAGGTTCTTCAACAACAATGCCTTCATTAAGGGAATGGCTCTCAAGCACCGCCATCACCAAATACAACCTCCAAAGGACAAATTTTAGGTTTTCATCTCGAAGAACAAGTTCGAGCATATGTAAGCAATGCCTTCAACAAGACAACAACCCAAAAGCATCGCCATTGACAGGTAAAACCAACTTGGTTCATAAGTAGGGTTTTTACCCCGGAGCTATAGGCCGTGTATTCGAGAGGCACCGCCAAATCAAAATAAATCATGTGTTGACGCCACTTTCCGCGACCTCAAGAGCTACATGCGCCGGGCCAAAAATCCCACCGCCACCACTGCACAATCATACCCTATGCGTCAAGCCACCATCCATAGATTGCATCTCATCGTCGAAGGCAAACTCGTCAGAGTAAGAGCCACCAAAATGCACAAAGGAGCCTTCTGACTGCATCCCACAAACACACTAGCACAAGCTACTAGCAGAAGACACTGGATCTGGAGAGAGGCTGATTTAATGGTTTGATCAACATAAGTCATTTTCAAGCTAAGCAGTGTGACAATTTGACGCCACTACCTTGTTTACCAGCATGTAAACATATGCAATGTACATTGATTCGGGATCAGAGAGATATTGGGGGTAGAAAATATACATGACAAGTGGGCCCAGATGGTCAATGAGAGGAACGAGTGATCCCAGTTGGGATCATCCTTTTTCCAGTGTGCCAAGCATGTTGAGGGTCGGGATTAGTAAGTACAGGGTGATGATTTCAGGGATCAAGAGCCTAAGATTTGATTCAGACAAGCTCTGCGAGTATAAGGCTGATCACACTGGGAAGTATCATATACTAGCATCATGCATATGATACTAGTGTATGGTACTACCTTCATATTTGTCAATAATGCATCGTATCATAACTTGGTATCACAGAGAGCTCATTTATTGACATGCATGACAAAAAATAGTACACCCTTTAACATGACACGGTAACAGATCACGATACTCAACCTCCTCTTTCCTCATTCAATTGTGTGAAACCTCAGCAAATTGCCTAGTTGGCATGCATGATACTACCTATCGTACTTCCATTGTAACCACTCAGGTTTAAGTTGCGTACATAAGAGCATATTCAATAGATTATGCAAATTTAGAGATGTAAAAATAGATGTTGCATAATTTACATCAACAAAAAGTACATTTTTCAACTCAAAAAAGAGGCAACTCCAACAGATAATGTATATTGGTTATGTAAAAGTTCAACTCCAACAGATGATGTATATTGGAGATGTAAAACACATTGGATGCGGTGGTTGTGAGCATGACCACGTCTTCCTCCATGGTCGGTAGTGGAGGTGGAGTAGGGGTTCCTTGACCGGATGTGGACGCCACGGCCGGCGGCGGCGGAAAATCGGCGGTCCAGCCATGGCCACCTTTGATTATTGCCACCCGAGATGGGTTTGTCGCTTGGTTGTGCCCCGCCGGCCGCTTCACACCTCCACCGTTGGGATTGGCGGCCAACTGCTTCTTCGCGCAGCCGCTACATCGATTGGCTGGGGCGGGCAAAATCGAGGCGGCGGCATGGAGGCGGAGGGGGGATTGGGGAAGGTCGTCGTGCCAGAGAAGGCCGCGGCAGGGTGGGTCAGACCAGCGGTGGCGCGGCGGAGGAGCCAGCGTGGTCGTTGAGTCGGCCATGGCCAGGGCCGCGGTCGGCAGGCGGAACAAAATGATAGCGGTTGGGCGTTTAGCGCATGGCCAGCCGTTTTACATCTCCTAGAGGTCTCCAGATGTTGTATTTTACATCTTCTGAAGGTGGAGAAGATATAATTTTGTTTACATCTACGTTATCTGTTGGAGGTGAGTTTTTAGCGCTCGAAGATGTATAAGCTAGTTATTTTTGAATGCCGTGTGAATAAAAACCGATGGCCCGCATCGCTTGCTGCATGTAGTTAGGCCCATGCATGCATGATTGGCTGGTTCATTTTATTGATAAAAATGGGAAGGGAATACGGGCGCGTGACTGCATGCATGAATAGCTCGTTGATCGGGTGCGGTGGCAGCAATTTTCGATGATTGTTTTCACTATGCATGTGATTTTTTCATGACTAGATTCGAACGAGGCAAATAAAGTAGCACATGAACTTGCTAAATTAGCTAGATTTTCTTTAACTTCGGATTGGTTTGAGGTGCCTCTGAATGAAATTGTAATGTTCCTCACAAACGATGTACTGCTTATATCTAATGAATAAAGTTTCGTTTTAACTCAAAAAAAAATGAATAGCTCGTTGATGAGGAAGCGAAAGATCCGGAAATTAACAAATATAGTGGATGCTGAATAGAAAGAAAAAAAAGGTAAGAGGCCATAGATCTCCAACTACAAATTGTGCAAAATCATTTCATTGGTTCCAAGGCGTGCCCATGATTTGGTTGGATCTTGTAGAACGATAAGATGGGATTTGTACATCTTGTATCTTGTATAGCAAGTTACCATATTAGGACTGGACCTTAATTCAGGAAAATGTTTGTTTCGAATATTATTTTCCAAAAAAAAGTACTACTTCCGTCCCATAAAATAAGATGTTATTAAAACATGCCTGATGCGACTGCCAAGAGGAATAAAATCATTACTGATGAAAGTGATGAATGATGAAACTAAGAGCAAGAGATAAGTAAACATTGCATTATACGACTAGAAAACAAACTCTACTCTAAGCCAGCAGTACTGTATTTTTCTTTTTCCGAACACACGTCCATTCATTCAAGGCTCAGATAAATTTTTGGGTGACGGCTACAACAATCAGTAGCCTCCTAAATTATACAGATGCTTGCTTTTTATTAAGACTGGCACACGAACTAAACTTAACTCATCCCTAATAAAAATGGAGCTACACTCTCCTAACATTCACCCGTTCGTCGCAACACTGAGACGAGCTAGTTGGTGCCCTTGCTGATGAGGTCGAGGGCGGTGGCTGTGGTGGGCAGCGCCGGGATGGCTCCCTTCTTGGTGGTGCAGATGGCCCCGCAAGCATTTGAGAACTGCAGCACCTCCCTCAGCTTGGCCTCATTCTGATCAATCAAAAAAAACAAAACATCACCATTAGCAACATACGCACTCATACTAGAATTCAATCAGCTGATAATTAATTCTTTTTTATCGAGGATTAATTAGTTTCTTACGTAGAAGATGGAGTCGTCCTTGGCGACGCTGAGGAGGAGGGATCCAACAAAGGCATCGCCAGCACCGGTGGTGTCGACCGTGTTAACGGAGTAGCCTGGCAGGGAGCCCTTGAAGTCCTTTGTGAAGTACCTGCACCCCTTCTCGCCGTCGGTGACGACAAGCAGCTTGAGGCCCTCAAACCAGAGGGAGAGGACATTCTTCTCATCGTGGGCGTCGGCCTGGGTGAGGAACGCCACCTCCTCGTCGCTCACCTTGATGAAGTCAGCCTCCTTCCAGATGCTCATGATGCCGTCGCGAGCGGCCTGGGCGGACGGCCAGAGCGGGAGGCGCACATTGGGGTCGTAGGAGCAGAGGATGCCGGCGGACTTGGCGGCACGCATGGCGGCGACGTGGGTGGAGCGGCAAGGCTCGGTGATGAGCGAGATGGAGCCATAGTGGAAGATCCGGGCGCGGCGGATGAGGTCGAGGTTGAGCTCCGCCTCCGTGAGGAGCATGTCGGCGGACGGGTTGCGGTAGAACATGAACTCACGTTCGCCGTTGGACTTGAGGGTGACAAAGGCCAGGGCGGTGCGCGCGTGCTGGTCAAAGAGGCAGCCCTCCGCGTTCACACCGTTCTGCTTGAGGATGTCCACCAGCATGTGGCCGAACTCATCGTCGCCAAACTGAAAAAAAGACATCATCATATGATTACAATTTCATGTGTTACTCCCTCCGTATATTTCTTTACGGAGGGAGTAGTTCTCATCTAGACCAGAAGTAACTATTGTATGTCTCATTAACTCCTATTATTGATTGCACTGCTCATATGAATATAAACAATTGCTAATAAAAATAATGCATTAGCCTTCGGAAAAATAACGTAAAAAGGTTGCCTCTTGTGTTAGAGTGGATTAATGTTAGATTTGGACTGATCGATGACGTGAGATGCAGGTAATAATCGTCTAAGAGACTACGAGATTATATTCAAGACCAAAAAGAAAGTTGCAGAGGCTTATTGCTCTTGACATCCGATGATATAACTGAGCGATGAAATCGATCAGCGATATGACGCTACTAATAAGGTACTCCTAAACAAGTCAACAGCCTTCGGCATGATCAGATCAGAGCCTACCAAACACCAGATCGAACGCGGGCGCCCAGATGCATGGCAACAAACCCAAGGGAGAATCATTATGTTATCAGGGATGGCGATTGATCCGTGAGCGCGTACCTTGCCGACGAAGGCGGAGGAGCCGCCGAGCTTGGAGACGGCGCATGCGACGTTGGCGGGCGCGCCTCCGGGCGCCTTGACGAAGCCACCGGACTCGGCGAGCGAGACGCCGGCCACGTCCGGCACGAAGTCGATCAGCATCTCACCGAAGGAGACGACGAGACCGGGCGCCGCCGCGGCATCCACGGGGGCAACACCATCACCGAGAGGCGCCATTGAACCTGCCTAAACAAACGTGAACGCAAACGCAAGGGGAAAAATCGATCGAGCCTGGGAAGATAGGTGCTGTTGGGTGGATTGAGATTTGGGAGTTGTGAGTCGTGAGGGACGGGCCTTATAAAGGGTTGCAGTTGGGGTCTTGACTTGGCCGAAGGGTCGTAGTTTTCTTATACTAATCCGGTTACAATCCGCTAGTCAGTTCGGGTTTGGATAACTCCTTTTTTTTTTTGCGAACAAGGGATTGGATAATCATGGCAATCAAGAGTAATTCTTCTGTTCACCAAGGATTTTCCTTATTAAGTACATAATAAGCATCTCCAATGGTCATCCTCAAATACTTCCGCATCCGTCCGCGAATGGAGGGACCAGTCCGCGGATATGGATGCGGGAGGCCGCAACCAATACTGACACCATACATTTCAACAACAATTAGAATCAAACGGATGAAATTCGTTTAAACATGACGGAATTCATTCAAGTTCGGTTATAATTTACATAAAAATATCGATATCTCGACCATTTAACAAAAAACAAACTATTAAAAAAAATCTAAACCCTATGCCGGACAACCCAACTCGTTCGTGTGGCCGCTTTGCCCTGCCGCACCACCATCGTCGTCTGTGCCGTCGTCGTGGTCCCTTCAGCGGCCGTATGACGCCGAAGGGCCGCGTCAGTCTTGTTCGCTGGCTGCATGCCGCTCGCGGAGGAGCCGCTCTACCTCCTGCTGCACCGTGCGGAGGGCCGCCACGGCCACTGCCGACGTAGCCTTCGAAGCCCTGGCGGCGGGCTTGCCACGACCGGCGTTGGTGGAGTGGTATATATAAATCATTTTTTTAGGTTTTAATTTTATTTTTAATCTGATTTATCTAAACTTCAACATACATAATTTATGTATGCATAAATTATAAATCATTTTTTGACGCTTCAATGGCATTG